GAAGATACTGTGCCAGAATAACTTCTTTACTTTATTTTCGCCTTAGGCTGAAACTGCCAAAGTCAAAACGTAGAAATCAGAACCAAATGTTGGCAGGATAAGTCAGTGAATTTGACAGAATTTGCCAATAGAAATTCAGAATAATGTAGCTTAGAATCTACATCAAATTGTGGAACAGCACAAATAAAAGTCTATTTTATTTGTGATGGGAGAAATGGTGTTACTTCATCAGCTATATTAAAAACAAAGAAATGGGACTGGAGGTGTGGCTAAAGTGCTAGACTGCCTGCTTTGCAAGTATGAAGTCCTAAGTTCAAACCCCAGGGCCACAAAAAAAAAATTATCAAAAAGACATAGAAGTGACCATTAATATACTAGTTAAGTAGAATAGGATACATTAATATGGTAGTATACTATTACAATAGTTGTGAGAATTAAAAACAGACCAGGAACAGAAAAAGGATAGATGGAAAAAAATAGCTGTTAAACAGGTACTAATTTGTACAGGTTAAAGAGTCACTTCAAAATAACAGAGAAAAGCTGAGTAGTCCATAAGTATTGTGAGACTACTGGCTGCTCCTACCTCTATCTACAACTATTCATAACACTTGAAATCCAGATGGATTAAATAACTCAAGCGATTAAAATAAAGCAATGATGAATATGCATTATGAACTTCGTATATGGAAAGCTGCCTTTTAAAAACACACACCCAGAAGTGATGAAGGAAAAGAGTGCTGATACAAAATATTCAACTTCTATGAAGAGATGACTAAGAAAGCTGAAAGACAATTCACAGCCTGAAAGATGGTATTTGTAACACAAATTACAGAGGAAGAAAGGATTAGTAACATATATAGACATTTACATATAAAATACTACAAAATCAATTTAAATGAGCAATAAACAACACAAAAGAAAAATAGTTAATTATATAAACAGGCCATCTATGGAAGAGAAAATACAAGTGATCAATCTGTGGGAATATTCAAATTATACCTGCTATGTCATGCATTTTCAAGTGATAAGAACACAAGGCTTGAAACAAGAAGTGCCAGTGCGTGAAGGGTGACATCATACACTGCAACCTGGAACGTGAACTGGCACGGATATTTTGAGGAACTATTCAGCAGCATAATTAAAATGGAAACAGAAAAAGAAAAAAACAAACAAAATAAAATGAAAACAGGCATACATTATGGTCCAGGAAATTCCATTTTCACCCTAAAGGAACATATACCTATGTGTACAAGGCTATTTCCATTGAAGTATTATTTATAACAGTGAAAAATATACAATACCAAAATCGTCTATCAGCAGAGGAATAAACTATAATACCTAGTCACTACAGGAGTTTTTAAGAGAAACCTGGTAAATCTCCAAATATTGACACACTGGAGGATAGTGAAATGGTATTCTCAAGTTTAATACTAAGTCTCAGGAACACACAAAATAATGTTTTAAAACAAAATAAACTCAATTCTATATACTTAGAAAAATTTTTGGCAGTATTGGGTCTTGAACACAGGGTCTTGCACTTTCTAGGCAGGCACTCTACCATTTGAGCCATGCCCCCAGTCCTTTTTTCTTGCCTTTAGTTATTTTTCAGGTAGTGTTTTGTGGTTGTGCCCAGGGCTGGCCCCAAACCTCAATTTTCCTCCCAGGTAGCTATGACCACAGATGTGCACCACTATACCTGGCTTACTGATTGAGATGGGGTCTCTGGGCTGGCTTCCAATTGCAATCCTTCTGATCTCTGCCTCTCAAGTAACTAAGATTATAGGCATGAGACACTATGCCTGGAAATTCTATACACTTCTAAATGTATATGTAGGTATGTAAATGCAGGAGAAGATCTAGAAAATAACCACAAAATTGCTAATTAATTAACCCTGTGGAGGGAATCATTTTGGGGTCAGAGACAAAGGAAGTGGTTGCCTTTATGTAGATTGCTTGAATTTTGGAATATAAGAGTATATTCACTTATTAAATTAAATAATTGTAAATATAATCTGTAAAATTATTATGGTAAAAATTTAGAAGTTACATAATAGAGCTATGGGGAAATTCCTGTAGAAACATAGTGAAAGAAGAAATTAGCTTAGGGTATAGAAAGATTTTACAGCATCACTGATAGGAGTTTGTCAAGCATTTAAAATTTAGTGGAAGACTGTGGCAGATTACATTTTCCATTTAACATGAGGTGGAGATTCTCTGCGCCGGCTGGAGATGTGGAGGGGTCAAAGTTATGCCTTTTCTCAGTGATTATGCCTGCAAAGTGTGTCTCCAGCGTCTCTCCAAGATTTCACTATAGGAGGCTCGCTTTCTGCTTCCTACCTCTAGCCGCCATCTTGGAATCTCCCTACATTTTCCAGAGGTAACTGTAATAATATACATCCCATCCAATATGCCTTTCTTTCAATATAACACTGGCCCTCCTCTATGGAGAGATGGGTCTATATTCCCTGTCTGTTGAACTTGGGGAGAACTTTGTGATTGTCTTGATGAACAAAATGTGATGGAAACATCACAGCATGACTTCTGAGATTATTCAGCTCCTACTGGATCTTTACTTCACAGAATGCTCACCCTGGGAACCCAGCCACTATTCTGCATGGAAGCCCAAACTAGCCTGAGTGGAAAGACCACCGGGAGCAGGCTCACGTGGAGAGGAACTGAGAGGCCCCTGAGAACAGCCAACAGCAACTGCTGCACACCTGAGGGAGTAAGCCTTAGAGGGCTCCTGCCCCAGCCTTTACATTTCCTAGCTCAGGCCCAGACATACATCATGGAGCACAGATAAGCCACCCCCACTGTGCCTTGTCCTAATTCCTGATCCAGAGAACCCACAAGCAAAATAAATGATTACTTCACACCACAAAGTTTCAGGGTATTGTGTTACCCTGAAGTAACCCAGGGTTACCCAAAGTAACTGAAACAAATACATTTTAAAGAGAAGAATACAAGTAACAGACACAAGTAACAGAATGTCACAGAGCACTGAGAGTACTGGCAGTTTTGGGTAATAAGGCCAGAAATATTGGCATAGGACCAAACTATGAAAATTTTATATGACAATATGAAAAAAAATCACACTTGTCAGTGAAGAACTGCTGAAGGTTTTGAAGATAGGAAGTGAAGTGGTAAGATGTACATTTTAGCACATATTTAAAGTCCCAAGAAAGACTTACAAACAGGAAAAGATCCCTGATTAAGATGGATCCCCTAAATAGTGGGATCATCCTTCAATCAACATTTTCAACTTTTTCCTGTTTAGGGTTGCCTCTGCTGCTCATTTTTGTTCAATTTCACATGTATTAAAATGTTAGCGGGGAAAATTCACATTCTCATGAACACCTGCTTCAGATGTTTATAAGCAGCTTTATTCATAATTGCCAGAACTTGAAGCAGACATCCTGCAACAGGCGAATGGATGAACTGGGGTCCATCCTATTCAGCACTCAAAAGCAATGCGCCATCAAGCCATGAAAAGATGTGGCAGAATCTTCAATGCATATCACCAAGTGAAAGAAGCCAATCTAAAAGGTTTATAATGTATGATTCTAATTCTGACATTCTGGAAAATCAGTGGTTGCCAGGGGTTGAGGGGAAGGAGGGATGAATAGGCACTACACAGAGGATTTTAGGGCAGTGAAACCACTCTGTACAAAACCTTAATAGTGTATATGTGTCATTTGTTCAAACCCACAGAACATACAACACCAAAGTAACCCTAGCATGAGCTACAGACTTAGAATGACAATCATGTGTCAACACAGGCTCATCAGTTGTAACAAGTGTTATCACTCTGGTGTGGAATAATGGTAGTGGAGGAGGCCATTCATGTGTATGGATACAGGGCATATAGAACTCTGCACTTTCCACTCAATTTTGCTGTGAATCTAAAACTGCTCTCGAAAAGAAAGTCTATTTTTAAAAAACTGTTAGGAGGGAAAAATGTTAGAATACAAAAAAGTTTTCCTTACCATTCTTTCAAGCTTCTGGATTTGGGATTTGTTTACCTCATTATATATATGATAAGAATATCAAACAAGCTATCTAAAAACTGTAACCATTCATAATTAACCATGTAAATGCCATCATATACAAACCCCCAAGGCTTTGGTTTTGGTTTATTAAAATATCTTCATCATTCTCATAACTGGCTTTATAGTAAATATTTATAAATATAAACTTGTAAAATAAGATCTATACTAATGCAGCACAGCATTTATATTTTGGATGCTGAGGGAAAATTTGAAGTGCATGGTCCAAGTAGAGGGAGAAGACAGAACTCAAACCAAGAGGAGTCACAGGATGCTTGGATACACACAGACGCAAAGACACGTAAGAGGATGAAAGGTAATAATGAGAGTCACTCATTCCTACTTGGCAAGAAGACCGTCCACCCGACTTGCTGAGAATATTGAGAGGAAAAGTATACTGCAAACTGGAGTTCAGGGAGAACACAAATAGATTGGATTGGCTTACTTGGGAAACAGATCCTAGAGAATTTTGATGAACCACAGAGCCCAGCTAGAAATTAAAGGTGCAAGTTACTGGCGACCAGCTTTGTGTCATTTTATACTGTGCCTTTCTCTAATGTTAATTACTCAAGAGCTGATTAGCAATTCATGGGATGTATGCTGTCCGTCTGGCCTTTGCACATTTTTGCTTAATGACTACTTTAAAAGATGTCATGCATCAAAAATAAGTTAAAGTTAATAAAAATCTAAAGTTAATTTTCTTCTTTTTAAAACCTGGCATAAGAGATTTAAGGCTTTTAGTTAATTTTGAAAAACTGAGCGGGAGAAACATTGAAAACAAATGGTAAAATGAGATTATAAGACTGCGTGTAGGCTGAATTATCATGACAGTCCTTTCCCTCTTTACCCACTACTGCCAAATGAACAAAGCCAAATCCTTCACTTATGTGTGCTTCCTTTGGAGTACTTCACACTCATGTTTGTGAATAAACTTCCTTCCCTCCATCAAATTACCTGCATCCCAGAGGTTGCAAACTTCTGCTTCCCCTTCTGACAACCACGTAGAGGAAGGGATGACACAAGGAGGCATTGTTGGCAAAAGTGGCTTTGGATCCTCATCATAAAATAGCATCAGGTCCTAACAGAAAATAGGAAAAAATATGAGAGTTAAAAAAAAAAAAAAGCAATCATCGTATGTTCTCCCTCATATGCGGACATTAGATCAAGGGCAAACACAACAAGGGGCTTGAACTTTGATCACAAGATAAAAGCGAGAGCACACAAGGGAGATATGAGGATAGGGCAAGACACCTAAAAAATTAACTAGCATTTGTTGCCCTCAACGCAGAGAAACTAAAGCAGATACCTTAAAAGCAACTGAGGCCAATAGGAGAAGGGGACCAGGAACTAGAAAAAAGGTTAGATCAAAAAGAATTAACCTAGAAGGTAACACACATGCACAGAAAATTAATGTGAGTCAACTCCCTGTATAGCTATCCTTATCTCAACTAGCAAAAACCCTTGTTCCTTCCTATTATTACTTATACTCTCTCTTCAACAAAATTAGAGATAAGGGCAAAATAGTTTCTGCCGGGTATCAAGGGAGTGGGGGGGAGAGGAAGGGGGCAGGGGCAGGGGGGAGAAATGACCCAAGCACTGTATGCACATATGAATAATAATAAAAAAAAAGCAATCACATCTGGGATACTGACTTCCACTCAGTCAAGATAGAGATCATTTCCGTCACAACCATGAGGCTCCTTCCTGAGGTTCTTTTATAACCATGCCCACCTCCCACTGCCCCTAGATATCTGTTCCTACTAATCTGTTCTTACTTTCTATAATTTTGACACTTAAAAATGTTATGTAAGCTTTGAGGATTGACTTTTTTCACTTAGCATAATTACTAGAGATTCATCCAGATTGTTGTGTATATCAATAGCTCCTTCTTTCTCACAGCTGAGAAATATCTATGGCATGGATGTTTAAAGCATTAAAGGATATCTGGGTTGTTTTAGAGTTGGGCCATTACAAATAAAACTGCTGTGAATATCTGTGTACGAGGTTTGGTATAATGTAACTAAGTTTTCATATCTCTAGGATAACGAGTAGTGGTGCAATTACTAATCACATGCTCAGGTTTTATTTTGGTGGGACTGGGTTTGAACTCAGGGTTTTGCACTTGCAAAGCAGGCACTCTACCACTTGAACCATGTTTTGCTCCAGTTACTTTGGAGATAGGGTCTCACGAACTACTTGCCCAGTCTGGCCTTGAACAGTGATCCTCCTGATCTCAGCCTCCCAAATAGCTAAGATTACAGACATGAGCCACAGATGCCCAGCACATGCTCAGTTTTATAACAAATGGCCAAGCTGTTTTCCAGCACAGCTATACCATTGTGCATGCTTACTAGTAATATAGGACTGATCTGATTTTTTCCACATCCTCACCAGCATCTGGTATTTTCATCATATTATTTTAGCCATTCTGCTATTTCACTGCATGCTTAGACTATATTTTCCTTAAGGCTCACAATGCTGAACATCTTTTCACATGTTCATTTACCATCTGTACTTGCTAAAATTACTGCTCATACCATTTTTGATTTCCAGTTTGCATTTTGTCAAATGCATCATGAGATCTATGATTTTTTCTTTAGTTTATCAATAGCTTATCAAAATATGAATATACTTTCAATTCAACTCAAGTCTGTTGGGTTATGACCACGTCTTCTATTTTACATTCCTATCTGCTTTCTCTCATGCTAAGAATCCCAGTTCTCAAGGATGTCAAAGATGACACAAAGAAAGCATCTCAAGGTTACCTATTTCATTCAGCCCACACTGTACTCCCAGTAATCTCAGAGCAAAAATATCAACATTACAAAACAAAAACACCAAATAACTGCAAGGTACATTTATTTATTTTTACTTTATACTTTTGTGGGTAACACTTTGTAATTATGTAAAATCTTTCCAGGTTTTCAATGACAAACCTAAAAACAAGGTACATGCAATGAAATTTAACTCCTATTCCTCCTTTCCACCTTATTCCCTCTGTCCTATTATGGATAATTTTGTATTTTAATTTTATGGTTTACTTTTACATGTTAGTTCTTCAATATAAGCAAATGAGAAAATCCAGGAATGGAGCTAAACATAAATGGATACTATGTAATAAAAGCCATAAATTAAAGGGGAAAAGATGGATTATTCAAAAAGTGACATTGAGAAAACAGATTATTATTTGTAAAAATAAAAATTTTAAATGAGTATCTAATGTTCTTCAGTCATCAAAGCAAATCCTTAGTAGGTAAGATTTAACATTTTAAGAATTGAAGCATTAACAATAAAAACAGCATGGTACTGGCACAAAAACAGACATGAAGACCAGTGGAACATAATAGAGGACCCGGATATGAAGCCACACAACTATAACCAACTTGTCTTTGACAAAGGCGCTAAAAATATACGATGGAGAAAAGACAGCCTCTTTAATAAAAACTGCTGGGAAAACTGGTTAACAGTCTGCAAAAAACTGAAACTAGATCCATGTTTATCACCTTATACCAATATTAACTCAAAATGGATCAAGGATCTTAATATCAGACCACAAACTCTAAAGTTGGTACAGGAAAGAGTAGGAAATACTTTGGAACTAATAGGTATAGGCAAGAACTTTCTCAATGGAATCCCAGCAGCACAGCAACTAAGAGATAGCATAGATAAATGGGACTTCATAAAACTAAAAAGCTTCTGCTCAACAGAAGAAATGGTCTCTAAACTGAAGAGACCACCCACAGAGTGGGAGAAAATATTTGCCAGCTACACATCAGACAAAGGACTGATAACCAGAATATATAGGGAACTTAAAAAACTAGATTCTCCCAAAATTAATGAACCAATAAAGAAATGGGCAAGTGAACTAAACAGAACTTTCTCAAAAGTAGAAATTCAAATGGCCAAAAACACATGAAAAAATGCTCACCATCCCTAGCAATAAAGGAAATGCAAATTAAAACCACACTAAGATTCCACTTCACCCTTGTTAGAATAGCCATCATTAGCAACACCACTAACAATAAGTGTTGGCGAGGATGTGAGGGAAAAAGGAACCCTCTTATACTGCTGGTGGGAATGTAAACTAGTACAACCACTCTGGAAAAAAATTTGGAGGCTTCTTAAAAATCTGAACATAGATCTACCATATGATCCAGCAATACCACTCTTGGGGATATACCCAAAAGAATGAGACTCAGGTTACTGCAGAGGCACCTGCACACCCATGTTTATTGCAGCACTATTCACAATAGCCAAGTTATGGAAACAGCCAATATGTCCCACTACTGACGAACGGATTAAGAAAATGTGGTATTTATACACAATGGAACTTTATGCAGCCATGAAGAAGAATGAAATGTTATCATTCACAAGTAAATGGATGGCACTGGAGAACATCATTCTGAGTGAGGTTAGCCTGGCCCAAAAGACCAAAAATTGTATGTTCTCCCTCATATGCAGATATTAGATCAAGGGCAAACAAATATAAATCCTAACTTTGCCATATCCTGTCTAATGCACTTAGACTCTAAATGGACTGATGGAGTCAATTCATCTTTAGCAAATTAGAATGCCAGACACCTATCTGGTCCCAGTGGAATTGGAATAACAGGAGGAATACTTAAGGTGCATTTTACCCCCTCCTGTTTTCCACCCCACATTCTAGTCTAAGGTCTTGTAATATAAGTCATAGCTTCATTTGTCAAGGGCTTTCTGTACACAGATACTTTGGCTATATGATTCTTTTGTTTTGGTTTGGTTTTGGTGGTACTGGAGCTTGAACTCAAGACCTCATACTTGTTTGGCAGGTGCTCTGTTGCTTGAGCCAGCCCAGCTACATGATTTGCAATCTGTCATTTCTACTCCTTACAGCATATCGTCTCCCTTTCTCTCAGAGATGAGAACCCAGACACTGCCGACTTTAAGGTGTTTTACACTATCAGTCTGTCAAAGCCTTGGCCATCCTTAGGCAGTGTTCCTGAAAAATACTGTGGTTAGCAAAGCTGTAGATGTCAGGCCAGAGCTTCATGAGTGTTCAGAGGAGAAAACACTCATGAAATGAAGTGGGGAAAACAAAGGAAATTGCATTAATTCTGTTTTTGAGACAGAGCTAGAGAGTATCCATTTCCCAAACAAACCAGTCTTTATCTCTAAAAACTTGCTCTACACAAGGGAGGTATGAGGATAGTTAAGACACCCAAAAAACTAGATAGCATTTGTTGCCCTCAATGCAGAAAAACTAAAACAGATACTTTAAAGCAACTGAGGCCAATAGGAGAAGGGGACCAGGAACTAGACAACAGGTTAGTTTGAGAAGAATTAACTTAGAAGATAACACACATGTACAGGAAAGCAATGCGAGTCAACTCCCTGTATAGCTATCCTTATCTCAACTAGCAAAAACCCTTGGTCCTTCCTATTACTGCTTATACTCTCTCTTCAACAAAATTAGAGATAAGGGAAGAATAGTTTCTGACTGGTAGAGAGGGGTTAGGTGGGCTAAGGGAGGGGACGGGGGAAGGGGGGAGAAATGACCCAAACATTGTATGCACATATGAATAAAAAAAACCGCAATGAACTAAAAATATGATGCTTTTTTTTTCCTTTTTTGGCAGTTGAAAAAAAATTAAAAAGCCAGGATTATTCATTATAAAACTAAACATACTTTTATAATCTTCCAGCAGTGGCATGTGAATGTTTATAGCAGCTTTATTTGTGATTGACAAAACTTGGGAGCAACCTTCAGCAGGTAAATGGATGAAGTGTGGCACATCCAGACAATGGAGTATTATTCTGCACTAAAAAATGAGCTATTAATTCATAAAAAGACATGGAGGAAACTTAACTGCATGTTACTAAATGAAAGAACCCAAAGTGAAGGGTTATGTACCAAAGGAGTCCAATAATACAACCTTTTGGAAAAAGGCAAAAGTATGGAGATACTGAAAGAATCAGTGATTGCCAGGGTTTGGAGGAAAGGAGGGGTTTACAGTTAGTGCATGGAGGATTTTTAGGGAAATAAAACTACTCTGTATAATGCTACAATGGTGTCATTACTCATTTGTCTAAACCTGTATG